TTAGGGGTTTAGGGCTTAGGGTTAGGGTTTAGTAGGGCTTTAGGGGTTTAGGGTTTCGAGTTTGGGTTTATTGTTGTAGTAAACCCGAAATCGGATTGAGGACAGATAGTGCTGGGATTCCCTGTACCTTACTCTTAAGGATTTGGGCTATTGATTTTTCCAAATTTTGGGCTTCTACTGTAGGGCTTTTGAGGGTTTAGGGATTTCGAATTAGGATTCGGGTTTCGGGTTAAGGGAATGTTAGACCGTCGGGTTTGCGGCTTCGGCAAACAAAGAACTCGACTGCCTCCCAGGTTTTGGGGGGGTAGAGGGGATTTGGGGAATTGAGGCCAACCTTAACATGAAGTAGCCCTGAACCCTAAACCCCAACTAGTAGTAGTACTTGGAAATGACAACTGGCCTCCAAGCTCATCAGCACTGCTTCTGGGCAATGCTGCGTCCCCATCCGGAGAAAGCTCTATCACACGATCGACTCACGGGAAAACACGACAAGAACGCGTGCAGAACGACATGGACTATTGCTTGCTGGCACTTGGCCTCTAGCCGATCACGGAAAACTGGCCTCATAATTCCGTATTGGGTGTTGCAGCTTGCTCGGTTATCCTCGCTTGAGGGGGTCCTGCTTCTTCTAGCCGAGGCAATCACAGTCATACCAACAGTCATGCAGTAAGACGAGTGATTGCTTGGCCGTGCCATGCTGGGTGATACCTAAACGCTAACTTGCAACACATCTCTTTGATAAAGCTCTTTTTGCGTAGAGTTTACATACCACGAGGGTTTAAGTAGATTTTTGCTTCAGACACGTACGAGACTCGACCACGAAGGCTATCGTCCGGGTGGTTCCTTTGAGTCCCGGCTTCGGCCGTGCGAAAAGGAGTTTGAGGTGGCTTAGGACCCGACTTCAAAGGTCTTCAGGGTGTAGGCAGTTTAGGGCACATGTGAGCTCAGGAATTAGAGTGAGATTTTGAGGGATTGAGTGTGGGAGCAATCTCTTTTTATCTGAAATGAGAAGGAACCCATAATTACAGTTCATAGTCGCTACCGTAAGCCCTAAACCCACACGCTTCATAGGCACTGCTTTACTTTTATGGGGTTAGATCTCAAAACCATGGCAATGCTGGTCTTGTGGGCGTCATTCCATAATGCCATGTAGATACACATACGCGTATACATGAAAGTATGCATACATACATGCATTTCTACATACATACATAATTACATCCATACACGCATGCATGCATGCATGCATGCATGCATGCATGCATGCATGCATGCATACATACATGCATGTGCGATATGTGTGTATATATATATATATGTATGCATGTATATATATATATATGTATATATATATATGCATGCAAACATATTTTAGACATGTACACACATGCATACGTACACACATACATACGTACACACATACATACACACATACATACATACATACATACATACATACATACATACATACATACATACAGACATGCATACATACATAAATACAGACATACATACATACATACATACATACATACATACATACATATACACATATACACATACACACATACATACATACATACATACATACATACATACATACATACATACATACACACATACACGTGCATTATGTATATATATATACACATATGCACACATACATACATATTATGTACATGTACACACATGCATACATGCTTACTTACATACATACATACATACATACATACATGCATACATACATACGTGTGTATTTATACACATAGTGACATAGTATATGTTGAAGTGCACACTGACATGTGCATGCATGCTTGCACTGCAC